CTGTCTGAGTGACAGAAGAAGACGTTAAATAATCAACACTAATAGTGTCCAGCATACATCTACAGGTGATACTACGTGTGCATCGTTTACATATTACCACAGACTATTTGTATCTAAAACAACACTAATGATTTGAAGAGAACTGCAGTAAATGCAAATACATTCTTTTATATTTTTTTTAGATATTGACCATTAAACACCACTGGAAGGCAGAATGCTCCCTGAAGATGAGGACTATTGAGAAACTAGTGTTTTGGAACCAAATACAAGCGCATATCATTAAATAACAGAAACCCAACACTCTTCGGCGCCGTACATATATTATAAACGAAACAAAAAAGCTGATAGGGCTCTGGAAGCATCTATGAGACTTAAATCAATGCATTTAAAGGAACAGATCGCCACCCAAAAAAACAAGAGAATCTTGTCATTTGCTCACCCACGTGTTGTTCCAAACCACTATGATTTTCTCTTTTTAGTATAAAATAATTACAATGAGTATGAGTGCAGTGACAGTGAATGGACAAAAATATATAAATCCATTTTTTTGGTGATTTTATGTATTCTTTTTTTGGAGTTCAACTGCCTCAGTTCACTCATAGACACTTAAGTACATCTACTTGCATGAAAGATGACTATCATTACTGAAATAATTTTTTTAAGCATAAATACGTTTACAATATGAACAATGTATCATTATTGCATTGCAAGTAATGTTTTGTTTGTTTGTCTTCATTTGCTTTATTAAAAAAACATTATCTCACTGCTTTTGCCTTTGGGTATAATGTGACCTAGACATGTTTTGCAAGATTTGCTCCAAAAAAAGTTGTTGTATTTTTAATAGTTTTGCTGTGGATTTTTTGTCATTGTAGAAAAGAGCAGCATGAGCACCTCCTTTTGTGTTCTGCATTAGAACGCAGGTCATTTGGATTTGTAACAACATGAGGGTGAGTAAATTAAGACAGAACTGTCATTTTTGGGTGAACTATCCCTATAATAGTGTTTGACTGTTATTGTGCGATCAGGTCTGGGGATGTAAGAATGGCACAAACCCGTAAACAGTGTGTTAAGGTATAAAAGGAGTGTAATCCTGCGGGATTATTGTTAATGTGCCTTCCTGGCCATTGCAGGTGCTGTAGTGTTGGTCGTTGCTCGATTAAGTCTAGTGTTTGATTGAGGCGGTGGCTTCAAGTAAATCTACGGTGACAGCGAGTCTCTCAGGCAGTAATCTGATTGGATGCTGCTCTGCTGCCTCAGTGTCGGATCCGGTGCAGGTATCGCTCGGGGTCCTTCTCCTGAACGCCGTTCCAGCTCCATCTGGGGCCACCCGAGGGCCCCCGAGTCTCTTCCTCTGGGGGCTGGAAGTCAGCTTGGTCACATGAACCAGCCTCAAAAGAGCTCTGCCCCCCACAGGCTCCCAAAGCAGATGCATCGTCATCATCATTGTTGGCATTATCTTCATCTCCAGTGATGACTTCAGACGTCTGTCCCAGTGAGCCCTCGTTGATTCTTATGGGTGATTAAATAATAATGCATGCACTTATTAGATCACTACAGTATTCTCACGCACAGTCTGATGTTCACAGGCATGCGTGTGTGTGTGTG